GTGCTTGGGAGAAATGCAGCATTTTTGCTCTTGGCACAGCATCGGGTTGGGCGTCGAGAACGAAAGCGGGAGGCGAAGGCGTGCGGGATGCGACGCTTGGAAAACCAGCCGTGCGACGAGCGGCTCGCGAGGATTGATCACAGCGACGTAGTTATTGCCCCCTGAAACTCGTGGCTGCTTGGGGTGCGCGTGCGCGGAGCCCCGGGCCTTGCGGCGCCGAAACGCAGCGGGCTGGGCCCTGTGGGCGAAAGGCCGAGCTGTTAAGCAGCTCACAGCAAACACAAACACAAACAGGTCGCCCGTCGCAGCCCCTCCTCGACTTGGCAGCTTCGGCCTTGTGTTTGTTTGAGCGCTGATCAAAGGGTGTTGCTGCTTGCGTGCGGCTCGAGGCAGAGAAATGTGGGGCCTCGAGGAGAGCTCTTGATTAGACAATAGCTGCTTCTATCATCTATCTCCTATGCCCCGTGTCCTCCTTAAGAATCAAAGGGAGGTAATGCCATCAAAAAGACCACCAAAAAAAAACCCTTTGCGCAATTGTCACCTTTTAGCAGTGGTGTGACCAAAGGTGGCTTTGGGGACCTGCTTTGGCACGGAGGGGGAACGATGCTTCCCGGCCCACGGGCTTTCTTGCCGGAGGGAGATGTTGGGTTTGAGAGCCCGAGTCCTGGCTGTTCTAAAGATGAAACGGTTGGATTATGAAACGTGTATTTTTTCCAAGTTTGATTTGGATGGCTTTTAATCTTCCTCAAATTAAAGGAAAATCTCTTGTTTGACTCAAAACAAAATTATGTTTTCTTTGGACAGCCATACAAAAAAAAAAAAAATCAGCTCTCCTTGCAGTGCCAGACCAGGTTCCCTTGCCAGCAGCGTCTCCACAGCTCTCCTGCTCCGCGTGGCTTCACCAGACACAGGCTTGTCACGTTCCTGAAGTGTTTACAAGAACAGGAGAGTTCAGGGACTTGCTCTAAGTTTAGTTCGGGTATTACTTCCAGTCTGGTTAAATTCATAAATATTTGTTCATATCCCACCTCAGTTTCATGGCCATTTGTCCACATCCTGCCTTTTAAGCAGTTTAGGTAGGCAAATGTATATTTTGTGAGGTTAAACAAAGCAGAATATAGATTTTTTTTCTGGTGTGCAAGGTGGAACAGGATTTCAGATGCAGCTGCAGAGCAGTGGCAAGCTTCCTGTCCCCCGCTGTCACACAGCCCTTTGCATGAAGCCCCAGCGTTTTGCCAAGGACACAGATGAAGGTGATGTGCTGTAGGATCATGGCTTGAGCCTTGCCATCTCCTCCTAGACATGCAGTGCTCACCTGGTAACTAGTTGTTTGGTGGATTTTAGTTGAACTGGGGCTTCTAGAGGCATTTTGTACCATCTTCTGCTTTCTAGCAGAGCACAGACCTCCTGGGGCCTCCTAACAGTGCTGCCAACTTGCTCCAGAATGAGAATCTGCGGTTAGGTGGGAGAAGACAAGGGAATTCCTCCAGTCCCTAATTCCTGCAGGATATGCTGGGTCTTCTCTTCCTTTGATACATATTCTCTTCCCCAGGAAACATGTCGAAAGTGTCAGGGGCTGTGGAAGGAGCACATGAACCTCACCTGCGAGCAACTGGCTGAGAAAGATGACATCAAGTACAGGACGTCCATGTAAGTGAATCCTGCAGCTGGCAAAAACAGGGGGATTGATAAACTTGTCACGGCCCCGGACAGACTCTGGGGTGGGTGGAAATAAGGAACCTCACTGCTCGTGACTAATGGAGCCCGAAAATTCCCTGGGTGTCATTCCCTTCCATCAGGGAGGTCCCAGGGATACGAGCCGAGCGATTGGAAGGCTTCTCGGGTTTCTTTCTGTGAAAAATACTTGGCAGTGGATCTGAGCGGTAACACAAGAACATGGGAGAGTTGTCACCAGCCCAGGCTGCTCTGCGGCCAGCCCGGTGTCTCGCAGACTGGCACCTGGTCGTGCTCAGAAGTGAGAAACCTCCGTTACGTGTCGCTTCCCTTTCCGTTACGTGTCGCTTCCCCCTTGGTCAGGGCAGAAGGGAGGTGTTGCACGGAAGCATATTGAGTCAGTAACTGGTTTATTATTGAAAATCTGTCCTGGTGCCCGAGTGCTCAGGCATGGTTTGCTCAGCTGCTGTTCTCTAGTTTCGTAGAGGGGGATGTGTTTTCTCTTTTCTCGCGTACATTTGTATCTGGCATAACCAGTCATACCCCTTTTTTTCCAGAAATCTGTACAGAATTGAATACTCGTGTGAAATCCTGAGTGTTTCCATAAAATCTTTTGAACTCTGATCTCTTACTGCTGCTGTAAATGACAGAATCATTTGGCACTAGGAAACGAGCTGGGGTTCAGCCGTGGATCTGCATGTCTAGTGCAGTGAAATGGGACCTGCCTGTGTTGCCTGATCCGTTCTGCTCTGATTTAAAGTCTATGTGCTACGAGCAGAGGTTGGAAAGCTCTACCACTGGGACTGGATGAGTGCTACTTGCTCATCCCACAGCCCATAATTTAAAACAAAACATTTTTGCACTCCTGATATGGCTTCTTTCTGTGCCACTCCTTTCCCCATAGGAAAAGGAGGTGAGAGGGAGGAGGAGGAAGTACCATGGCCCTAATAAAGAGAAAAAAAAAAACAGTTTGAAAACCTTTAGCAGAATGTTACTGTAGGTGGATGAGTTTTACTGCATGATACAATAAAAACTTCCTTTTGAAGCCCTGCATAGGGAAAGGGAAGCACAGCTGGAGTTCAGGCCAAACTTCCTGCCTTGCTCAGAGTTTCCAAAAAAAAAAAAAAAAAAAAAAAAAGGAAAAGAAGCCCTGCATCAGCAGCATCCTGTGGAGCAGAGAGGGAAGAGCAGCTGCAGCTCAGAGCAGAGTCAATCTCAAGTTGACTTTTTTCCTCTCCATTCCTAGCATGTAACCAAGCAGCTGGATGCAGACCATGCCAGCTATAACGGCATGGAAGTTTTGTGTAGCTGCAGGTCAGCCTGGGTTTCTACCTCTAGCTGCCTTTTTATTTTTTTTCCCTGCCTTATTATTCACTCCTCCTTTGGCTCTGCTGCTGGATCGGTTTGTGGAGCTGCACTGGTTGCTGCTGTGATCCTCCTTAAAATACTTCCCTATCTGCTCCCATCCATATGCTGGGATTGCAGGCCTGCTAAAGCAGCTGGGTGGAGATGCTGGCTAGGAAGGAAGATCATTCCCCACTGTCAGGTCAGCCCAGCCAAAGGACTTTATTCCCTCAGTCCAAATGCAGTTCCCTTACTCTTCTGTCATCAAGTTTCTGAGCTCCTTCGTTGTGAATTAAATTGTAACACGATCTCCCGTGGTCAGAAAATTGGCCCTCAGGATGACAACTTATACTCTTAAGTCTTTTAATTAAATGGCCGTGGCTTTGCTCCATTTCTGGGCCAAAATGATGTTGCTGCGAGCTGAGCTCTTGCACTGGAGCGTGCTCTTGAGAGAGAGGAAAAGCCCAGTCTCTATGGGAAAGATATGATTATTTTTCACTTACTGATTTAAATTTAACAACAAAAAATAATAGAGCATTGCGGCTGACTTGGAGAAGAAAAAAAAAAAAAAAAAACATGGTCGTGGCAACTTGGTAACCAAAGCAACAGCCAAACATAAAATTAACTAGCAGATGACAGCAAACAGTTGGCTTTTCCTGAACTTTATCTCCTAGACCGTATTTCTCCACAGCCAAGTCAAGCATCCACGTGGCCTTTGGCCCTTTGACTTTTGGGTTAAATTCCTTCCAAACCAGAGCCTGGGCCTGCTGTGTTTTGGCTCGCATGGAAACCAGAATTGAGTTTGTAGAATGCAGTCAGTGATTGACTTTCTTTCACTTAATTTGTTCTTGGGTTGTCTTGGGTTGGCTCCAAGTGGAGTGGAGCCCAGACCTCCTTGGAACAACGTTGGGCTGGAAAGGGGTGCGCTGGGGAAAGGGGGGTTAAAGCACCGTGTAAGAGTGCATTTACCGTGGCCTGGCAAAGACAAACACTTCTTCTAATTCTCATCCCTCCTCTTGTGTTGCAGAGAAGAAAAAATGACAGCCGCCCGCATTAGAAAATGCCACAAGTGTGGGACGGGCCTCATTAAATCGGAGGGCTGCAACCGCATGTCGTGCCGCTGCGGTGCCCAGATGTGCTACCTCTGCCGAGCTGCCATCAACGGCTACGACCACTTCTGCCAGCACCCGCGCTCGCCCGGGGCGCCCTGCCAGGACTGCGCCAAGTGCTCGCTCTGGACGGACCCCACGGTAAGGAATTAGGGATTTTCTGAATGGCTCGCCCTGCTTTCCGGCACTCTTCCGTGCCAGCGCGCTGGAATACGTGCTGCCCACCAAAGGAAAGCTGTTTGTTTTAGGCTGCACAAGTGTTTTGTCTACTAGGACGGCTAAAACGCATTGGAAACCCGTTCCATCAGGGTCACATCTGAATGCAGATGGCAAGGAACTGATGTTCCTTTGCAAATAGTCCCTGTTGGATGTGGTCTCTGGTTGGAAGTGCTTCGTGTGCTGCTCCGGGGTGCGGAGCTTGTGAAAAGAGCTAGCAGGGAGCATGTGCTAGCAGCAGGCGTTGGGATTCCTGGGATTTGTTCCTAGTTTTGCAGCTGAGTGCTGTACGGTCTGGCTTTGCATGTGAGGGCAAGAGGAGTCGTGTCTTTGTGGTGCCCAATAACTCTTGGTTTTTTCTGCTCGTCTGACATTGAAGGGTGCGGAGTGAGCAGAGACAGAGCCCCTGAGAAAAATGCCTGCAAGTCAAAGGTCCAAAGCCCCCAGCACAAAGTTATGTTGGTGCTCACAGCTGGTGTCAGCATTTGCAAAGAGCTGAAATGCAGAGAGGGTTGTAAGGGAGGCCGTAGTAAGTAACTTAATACTTAGAGCTGTAAAACAGCTTGGAGCTGTGATGAGCGTGGGATAACCCAGTGCAGTATCTCTGCAGAGGTCTTCAATCCCAGGAAGGAGCAAGGGTTGAATTTCCTGACTGCAGCAATGTAGAGCAACGTGAATGTGAGTCTGCCTTCCCGGGGCTTGCCTGAGCTTCGTTTGCTTCCCAACGTTCCTTTGTCTAGGGCAACCGGAGCTTGCCAGGCTGCTACCGGCACGTCTTTCCGCAGGGAATGTGCACAGTCCTTTGCTTACATAAAGAAAAAAAAAAATCCGTTCTAAATCTCTCCTTTCTACCCGGAGGCTCCTGGGGATTTCCCAGCGGTGTCCTAACTAGTGTAAACGTTCAGATTCTGTTTGCTTTCTTTTATTCCCAAATTATTCTATCACAGAGAAGGGTTAAACTAAACAGCCACCTGCTTCTAGACATTCCTGCAGTCCCGCTTTTCAGAGCCCTGGTTATGCCGGCCCCGGCGTCCCGTTCCACTCGTCCCCTTGTCCCTCAGGCCGCGATCCGACGTTCGGCAGCGCAAGAGTCTTTTGTCCCCGTCGCGCTGCTCTTTGGGTTCCCTAATGGCATTTGTGCCGAGCCAGAGAAAACATGAGGCCTCTCAAAAAGCTCATGCTGTATTTTAAAAATAAATAAATAAACAACACAAAGAGTGCACTGTCACCAGGCCCTCTCCTGCTCTCTAATTAACCAATGCTGCGGCAAAGAAAAATTCCCCACTGTCAGCAGCGAGCTGGCACCGCTGCAAGGTTTGGAGGACGGAGCCTTGGTGGGCTGAGGAGTTGAGGTTGGGTGATTGTCCTGCCCGCAGGGCAAAGAATAACACGAAGCTCCAAGTGGAGAACGGTTTGGGTGCAAGGATGGGATCGTGACCGTTCCTAACCTGGTTAATCCGCACCCCAGCGCGGGGCGGCTTGAATCTTGACATGGGATAGAGAGGAACAAAGGGCCGTTGTGCCAGAAACACCGTGTGCTTGGCCAGGAAAGGTGCCCACCCAGCTGCCTGCTGCCCTCAGGCCCTGCTGGCCCCGGTCCTGTGTTTCTCTCGACACCTGTTTCCTCCTTGCTCGAGCTCCCCGTTCTGTTGGCGGCAGCAGCAGGGCAGTGCTGCGCGGTACGGGACGAGCCTCGATGGGAGGCGGATTTGCAGGTCTGGAGAGCAGAGGGAGAAGACGGGATCGTCTCCATCTGGGCCGTTTTCAGCCCATCTCTTAGGAGCTTCCACTCATCTCCATGCATTAAGCTCGGTGCAGAACCGGCGAGGGCCAACGTGGCACCAAACCGTGGGGTTTTATAGGGTGACAGGGCATTTTTGCTCTGGCTTCTGACGAATTTATGTCTAATCTCAGCTGGACGCCCCCTTCGAGCAGGCCTGCAGCATGGTCACCCTGCCTTGTCCGTTCTTATTTTGTGGGTGTAGATGTTAGCTTCCTGTCAGGCCTGGATAATCCTGCGCCTTCCTTAAGAATCCGGCTGGGTCGTCCTCTCTGCTGCTTAAGGCAGAATTCGGTTCCCTTTAAAACAGGGCACCTTTGTTCTTCTCCAAATGTGTAAAACTTTCTGCGAGTCTGCAGTGATTCTTGAGGACGTACAAGCAGATCTATTCATTAGCCCGGGTTAAAAACAAGTTAAAGGCAGTCCTGTAGGAACTGCAGCATCTGCTGGTCTTTGTCTCAGATGATCTTGAGGGAATAAAGCAGACACTTCAAAATTGCCCAAAATAAAGGTTAGTTAAAAATCAGAATCTTGTCCCTGTGCTGTGATCAGGCTTTTTTTAATTAAAAAGCACTGGTGCAGTGTTTGCAGCTTGGGGCAAGCAGGCAGCGATCGCTGTGTGTTCCCGCTTCTCCCTGGGTGCCCTGCAGCTCTCCAGGAGGTGAACGCGTGTCCGGAGCTCCGGATATTCCCGCCGCGCGCTCGGCAGCCGGGATAGCTTGGGCGGGTTATTCCGTAGGCTGATGTAATCCAGCAACGCGGTGCAGGGGTGAGAACGGCCTCTGCAAACCCGGGCCTCAAGGGCTGAGCCTCCTCTGGCGTCCGAACCCCCGTGACGAACCCCGGGCCCATCCGTGTCTCCCGGCTGCTTTGTGCCAGTCCCGGGATGCAGCTCCTCTAATGCATTTCCATTGCTCTGGTAAACCAGCTTATGCTATCACGTGTGTTATTATTTCTGCTTTAATACTCCTCTTCAGTCTATCGACAATACTGTAGAGCAGCCTTCGCTTTTGGCTTTGGAGACTGGTGTTTTTGCAGAATCTTTTACAAGCTTAAAACGCTCCCAGACAGCCATCAGAGCAGGAAACTGGCCATTAAAAGGTGTTTGCAAATATCTGGCTTCCCAGCACCGTGAATTGAAGATGTTGATTCAATTGCATTCAAATGCATTCAGGGAATGCACGAAGTGCCCGACACCGACTTCAGCGTGCAGAGGGAGGGGAAGCTCCCCCCTGGATCTGGTTTCTTTGTGCCGTGCTCTTAATCGTAAGCACATGGCGAATTCCCGCTGCTCACCGAAGCCAGCGCTAGGGAAACGTCTGCTAAAATGACTCGGAACCTCTGGAGCCCCTGAGCATCCTGCGTCCCGCGCTGCCCCTGTCACCACATCCCTGCGGATGCCCCATCCGCGCGTTCCCCGCGGCTCTCATCCCGCTCCCTGGCTCTCCTCATTCCTGAAACTGGGAATGATTTGGACCAAACCCCCTCTGCCCACTGCTGCAAGTCTGCGTCGTGCAAATCCTTTCCAGTTGATTAGGAACGGCTGTGGCCGCACGTGTGGCTGGGGAAGAAAAACGAGCAGTAAAAATCCGGGAAGGGGGAGGCGGCGGCAGCAAGAGCCCTTGTCCAGAACAGCTGCCGTGTCCCTTGTTCCCCCTATTCCAGGAGGCCGGCAGCCCTTCTCCTGCAACACTTAATTATTAAGGAAGATGCCAAGAAGCCTAATAGATAAAACGAGAGCTTTGGGAAGCTTTATTGATGGCTTTTTGTCCTGGGCAGCCGAGGTTTTAGTTGAGGGCGTTATCTTGGAGCGACTCGTTGAGCTCCCTCTTCTCCTGCTGCTCCGTTTGCCCCTTCCCAGGGGCTGCCCAGGGCTGGGATTTGCCTGCTGTTGGCTGCAGGAAGAGGTGCCCAGGCCGCTTAGCAACGAGCCAGGCTCTTTATTGAATCCATTCACGGAGCGCGAGCCGAGGAGGAGCCGCCCGCCGCCTCCGATTGGCTCCGCGCTCTCCGCATTCCCTGAATTCAATGGGAGATGGCTGAAGACCACCACCCTTCTGGACCCCGAGATGTAACCAGATCCTTTGGCAACCCTTGGATCGCAAGGGAAGAGCAGTCGGCTAAGGGCCATTCCGTGTCCTAGCCATTCCCGGGGGCACGTGCGTCTCAACTCCCGGGATTCAGGGTGGGGCTGCAGAGAGTATCTCGCCGTCCCCTTGGGGGCAAACACGGTCCCCTATTGCTGCTTAAAAAGCAGACTTGAGTAATCTTGTTTCTCCATGCAGAGCCTGCGGATATGAACCCATCTCCTGTGCGTTCCACGCGGGGCCCCCTCCCCGCGATGCTGCGGGAAGGACCTCGATGCCACTTCGCCCTGTACTGTCCCTTGTAGGAAGGGGACCGGGTCACCTCCTCGTGCTGGGGTGGGCAGTCTGGCCAGGGCCAAGCCCCCGGGGCTTTGGAAGGGTTTGAGGGTTGCTTTTTCGCTTTCTTTTTTCCATAGACAGGCAGCTGGCAGGAAGATGTCCGCTCGCTTGACAGGAGAGATCCCTTCAATCCACGCAGCCTGTGGACAAGCCATTAAAATTGCAACCTGACCCCTCACTAAAGGACTTGAACCCCCTCAGGAAAGGGGACACGGAGGCTTTCCAGGCTCTTCTGAGGCTTCTGCTCTGAGTGACATTAGGTGGTTTCTTACCACAACCGCCAGCCACAGTGACACCAGTGAGAGCTGCAGTTCTGGTGCAGCTGCTTTGCCTGCAAAAGGCTCTAACCGTTACCTCTCTCTGTGTCTTCTCATCCCTTTGGGCTCAGAAAACAATCTTTACTTCTCAAAATACTACATTTTCGTTGCAAAAATATCACGGTTGTACCTGGGGAACCTTTGCAGCACTGAGACTTATTTTGTAAATCTGACCTGTAGCAGAGTAATATGTAAGAGCCAGAACCTGTGGTATCAGCTTTTGCTCATGAATAATGTCCTAAAATTACCCTCCTATTTGCCTGTATCACCAGCTTTTTTATTCCAGCTAGATGTGGATCTCTCCTGAGTCCTGCAGGTATTGAACTGTGTTGGTGACTCGCCAAATGTAAGGCCAGGCTTTGATTTGTGCACTGGACAGTATAATTTCATTTTTATGTTAAGACAGACATCAAGTTGAGAGCTGCAGAGATTGAAGTCAGGGCACCCTTGGGGCTGTTTTATTGCTTAAAAAAATACAATAATAATACATGCAAGTGCATTTTTTTCCTACTGAGTGGAAATAATGCAGGAGAGGTGGCTATTTCTGTTCTCCCTCTCAACTATCTTGAACAAAATACGGCTGGAGGGGGGGACTGGGATGGGGCCACCCATGGCGAGCGCTGCTGGAGAGCAGGGGGCTGCGGGGTGTTTGGTTGCTGCCTTGTTCTCCAGCCAGGGAAACCAGCAACGTGATACCAGGAGGGTAGTTAGAAATTCCGCGCGGGCTCCGAAGAGCTGTTCCTGAGTGCTTTTCATGGAGATAGATAGGCTGTAATTAACAGTCCGTGGAAGCAGGCTGCGTGGGGAGGGAGAAAAGCACGTGCTGGAAAGTCTTAATTTTAACCATTGACTCGAAGAATAATCAAAGAGGGGGAAGTATTGGGTTTGAGGGCTTTCTGCAGATTAAGATAACTTTGGTCTCCCAGGGAAACCTTATCTGCTGGGGGAGGAGGGGGCGTCTCCGCAGGCTTCCCGGGCTGCCTGCTAGACATGTGCAAGGCCGGGAGATGGGAAGTGGGAAGCTGGCGAGACTTAGTCATGTCAGCGAAGCCGCGCGCACGGAGCGCGTTGCACAAGCGAGTCCCAGAGCACTCCGCGAAACAGGGGATATTTTCCACATTGAGAGCGTTCGGGAAGAAATTTATGGGTTTTGGCAACCCGTGGAAAGGGGATGAATAAAACCAAGGCAGAGGCTTGCGCGCTCGTAGGGCTTGGAATTTCCCTCCGTTCCCCTCTCGGCGCTTGCAAAGGAGCTGCTCGACGCAGACCCAGGGCTCTTCCGTACGCAGGTGAGCGCGCGCGCTCGCTGCTCGTGCGGGTGTTGAGTGTCACCGAGCGGCTCCTGTTCCCGGCCTCCGTTCCCAGCTCGCATCCCGGGTGCAGACGCTGTCCTGGAGGCTTTTTCCGCTTGCAGACAGCGCCAGGTCGGGTTTCATCCCGATGGACGCCGAGCAGCAAATGCAGCCCCACCAAGACCAGAAGGTCCCCTTGCCATCCGTGCGTTTGTGGCCAACAAAAGCAGCTGGCACGGGCAGGGAGTTGTGGCTTTAGTGACTCGGTGCAATTTGTGTTACCCCGTTAGCTGTCGCGTGCACTGCAGCAAAGAAACTTATTTCCACGGCCATTCTTGGGAGCAGGTGATGTGGAAACGCAACTCGGAGCAATTCCCTGGCTTCCTGCCAAGACTAGAATGACTTTTTCTGTGAATTCTGAGACCTGTGGATGGCTGGTGTCCAGGGCCATCTTTTTAGGGATGCATTTCCAGCTCAGGACTTGCCTTGGACTTCCAAGGCTGTCTTTGTCCATCCTGCTCTCTTGATCTCGTAAAAGGTGGTGTAAATGCAAGCTCTGGAGATGCCTCCAGCCACCTGAGGTGACCTGTGTTGTTTGGTCCTAGCTTGGGTTGAAGGGAAATGCAGAAGATGGGGGGCTGGAGGATGCCTTCGGGTCCTGGCTTGCCCTTGAGTTCTCTTTGCACAGCAGGTTTGAATATTTTTAGTATTCTAGATGGACATTAAAAGAAACATATTGGGATTTATGTCCTCCTCAAAGCTTAGATAAGATCTAAATGGCCTCGTTACAGCACCGTTTAGCTACTAGAGCCAGGATTTAAGTTGTGTTAATTCCAGCTGTTGGGCCAAAACCTCTCGAAGTGCTAGCACAGTGTAAATATTTAATAGACTATTGCCATTTAAAAGATTAACAGCTCTCCAGCAGCTCTTTGGCTGGGTGGAGCTGGGTTGCTGTTCTCTGGTTTCTATCAAGTCAATGAATTTTAGCACTGATCTCCTGGAAAGCTGATCTAAGCCTCTTAGCCGTGCAGTGTGCTTGGCTCTGTGCAAGTTACTTTTGCTGCAGCCCCTCATTGTAGTCTTGCCTTTTTGCTAAATATTGGTGAATCCCAAATGAGAAATGTTTGGCCCAATTCATTTTCAGGGGAGGGCGCAAGGGGTGGGCAAACACAGGCTGAAAATGCAGCAGCAGGGTTAAGAGAGCAGAAACTGGCAGAAATTACCCCACTGACTTTGTATCCACCTTTAATCGTAGGAAGATGATGAGAAGATAATCCAAGAGATTCAGAAAGAGGCTGAAGAGGAGCAAAGGAAGAAGAACGGAGGTAAGTCACGATCTTTACCTGGGATTAGAGAACAGCTCAAGACGACGGGGGAGCAGAGGGTGCCCGGCTCGTGGAGCATCTCTGCTTCTCCATTGCCTCCTTCCCCAGGCCTGGCCGCTTGCTCGAGGCCATCCCCGTGGTGTTGGGGATGAGCAGGCCTGGGTCTCCTCTCCACATGCCATGGAAGCCCTGTGCTTTGTGGTGGGGTGCCAGGGCATACAGGGGGCACCTGCACCCCTAGAGAAGCAGGTTTTTTCTCCCCGTTTGTGCTGCTGAAAGTAGCCAGCCTGGCCCCTGCCCTGGGCTGGAGGAGGAAAGAGCAGCAAAGTCCAGGGTGTGAGGGGCAGGTTGAGATGCTGCACGGCGTGTGCTGGAGGAGGAGATGGTGCCTCCAGCAAGCTTAGGACCACGGGCCAAGCCTGGAGAGTTTTACCTGTGGGGTGACTGTTTCTTTGCTTTCCTCCCTCTGCAGAGAACAGCTTCAAGCGCATTGGCCCTCCTGTGGATAAGCCCCTGGAGAAGATCCAGAGAGTGGAAGTCATCCCCAGGCCTGTTCCTCAGAACCTCCATCAGCCCCGAATGCCTCCTTACCCCTTCGTGCACCCTCCCTTCGCGCTCCCTCCTGTCCGTCCCATGTACAACAACATTCCCCTCAACATCGGCCCCATCCCTGCTCCCTACGTGCCCCCCTTGCCCAATATGAGGGTGAACTACGATTTTCCCCAGATCAACGTTCAGCTGGAGCACAACTTGCCCATGCACTTTGGCCCTCAGCCTCGGCACCGGTTCTGACCCAGTTCCGGCAGTGCTCGGCGCCGCTGCGGGGCGAAGCCACCCTGTGCTCCCAGCCCTCTTCCCGCTTCGGACGCTCCCGTTATCCATCTGCAAGGAGGACGGCTCCGTCTCACACGCACTCTGGGCTCTGGCTTCCCTGGACCTTTGCAGCCCGGATTTCCAACCTGTGCTGCAGCAGGGCTTGGGGTGCTTTTCCAAGAGGCTCTTCCTGTGTTGGGCATCCAGAGGTTTTGGGTTGACAGAGCCTGTCCAGCCGGCAGCGCTGGCGAGCGCGGGGATGCGGATGTTCCTCTGGGACTGCAGGGCTTTCCCCAAATCCTGCTTTCCTGTCACCTAGAGCAGCTGCCACGTGGTCAAGGCCCTTGGGCAAGGGAGACCTGGCATCTGAGTGAGACCTTTGGGAACAAAATGCCAGGACTTGGCTGCCCGGGAAGCAGCATGAGGCTGAGGTTCAGAGATGTGATAATTTAATGTTTTGCAGTGACCCTGTTGCCATTTCCCAGCAAGAAAGAAGTGTTGAAACAACTAGATTTAGCACATTTGACATCTTATTGCCCTGCCAGGGGAGGCATGAGCTGCACAAGTACCTTGTTGCCAGGTCGTGCTCGGATCGGTGTAGGAGGCCCAGAGCCATGTTCTGTCTCAGGGCTTTCAGAAGTAGCAGAAGACTCAGGCACCTTAAATCTGGGGAACCAAAATGCATTTTTTCCCCAAGATGGGTGCCTCTCGACTTCCAAAACGTGGCCTTAGGTTCGTTCTGATCTGGGCATCCCCGATCCCGGCCTGTTTCTGCCCGGAGTCCTCAAAGCGGTGGTAGAAGCGTCACCAAAACAGCATCCCGGCGCCGGGGCCGCCTGTGCCGGGGCACCGGCGCGGTGACGGCCCGGGCGGTTGTGCACGTGGGAACCTTCTCGCAGTTAGAATTGCTGCAGCCGAGCAGGCGGCTGCCGTCTCGGGCCCTAGGGAGCTGGCTGCTTCCGCTGCTTTTGATAACTTCAGAAAAGGTGTATTTTGGTTTCGTTGGCTTCCAGAGGCTGCGTTAAAAGGCAAACGTAAGTGTCGCTGGGCTTAGGAAGTGAGGATTTAGGGAAAAACTTCCTCGTAAGAAGCAGGGGGTGGAATTGCTGCCTGAGCTCGCAGGAAGCGCCGGCCTGGGAGAGGAGCAGCCCTGCGAGGCCCTTTCCGCGCCGTTTCCGTGCTGCCCGTTCCAGTCCCTTTGGAAGAGAAGGGCCCGGAGGGAGCAGCCTCCTGCCAGATGCGTTTTCGGTGGAGCAGCGTTTGCCCCGCTCGTCCCCGCCGAGCAGCCCAGCGCATCCCCTGCGTTTCCCTGGGCACGGACACCCAGGGCTGATGGTTTCATTTGTGTTTCGGGTCAAACTCCCTGTCCCGGGGCTTGTGTCAAGGCACCGCGGCCACCGGGCACAAGGCGGTGATGGACCCAGGTGGCCCTGTCCCGCGGGCAGGGGACAGGCGGGGCTGTCCCCAAGGGAGAGGACGCGCGGGGCGGCCAGCGGAGCCGCCGGTTCCATTCCCCCCTGTCTCTAGCATTAATAACCAGGTGGTTATTCACTTGCTGCTATTTTTTTCCCCTTTTAATTTATTTCTGGAAGCAGTCCAGAGTCTGTAGCAGCTTCTCGCTTGCTGCTCAGCTGGGGTTGAGCCGGGTTTGGATCCCGCCCGGCACCGGCTGCTGCCTGGGGTGGCCGGGAGCAGGAGGGTCACGTTTTGGCCGGGAGCAGGGCAGGGATCGTGGCCGGAGCTGTGGTCGGAGGAGGAGAGCCCTGTCCTCAAACAGCACGTGGGGAAAGCGCCCTCGTAGCGGGAGCCCTTGGAGAGGCCGCGTTGGGCCGGTGCCGCCGGAGCCCGTGTGGAAGAGCCGCGTCCTGCAGGGACGGGCGGCTCCGTTGGACCCGCTCAGCCCGTCCGTGTGTCCGTCTGTGCACGCAGAGCTCGGGGAGCTGGGCCTTGGCGAGGGACGGAGCGGCAGGTAGAGCCGTCGGGGACGCGGGGCCTTTGCCGAAGGCGGCTCCGGGTGCAGCCCCTCCGGACGAGCGGAGCTTTCCCGTGGATCCCTGGCAAAGCGCTGGTTTGGCGGCGCCACGTGCCAGGGAAACGCTCCAAACCGTCGCGTTGTCCAAAGCTTTGGCTAAAACCAGCCCCGCGGCCGGGGAGAGCCCGACGGCTCCTTCCTGCAGACACACGGGGCTCGGATGGGTCCGTGTCCGTGTTTAAAGAAACCCAACGGGGAAAAAACCTGCGTTTGGGCTCAGCCTGCCCTGCCCGGCCCTGCAGCCCTTCCTGGAGCCCCTGCAACGGAGACGGGAGGTCGTGGCTCTCCCAGCAGGTACTTGATGTGGTTTAATTGCAGTGTCCCGTTTTACTTGCCTTAAAGGTGGAGAGAGAAACTTAGTATTTGCACTTAGCAAAGCATTATATTAAAAGAAACCCTGTAAAGATGTGCATGTTCTGCAACTTTGTATAACAATAGCTGAAAATAAATAGGTGGTTTATTAAAAAAAATATTTTTCTTTACCTTCTGGTAGTAAGCCGTTCTAATATTCTGTGTGTAAAAAGCTCCTTGTATTATATTGTAATTTGGATTTTTTTGTAAATAAATTTGTGCACTCTGGCTTTCACCTCCGCGTGTCGGCTGCTGCGGGGGCGACGGTGGCGGGGCGGCAGCGTTTTTTTTGGCTTCGCCAGGGCTCAGCCCCAGCGCCTGGAAACCGTAAGAGCTGCAAGGCAAAAACATTTGACCCTCCTGTAAAAGCTTAATGTGTTCCAAATGCTTTTGAGGAAAAACTGAGTGGAACATAAAATGGTTTCCAGTTGCTCCTTTAAATGGAAACCAGGGCTGCAGAGGTAGGATTTTTTTTTATTTCCAAGGAGGGGGAAGGGATGTGGGACTTTCCTTTTTGTGGGACTGATGATAAATACAGGCTCTGGGTCTTAGAAAAGGAGGGAAATGGATCCTTGGACCTTAAAGGAGGGAAATGGGTCTTGGCAGCTTGGGGGTTGCAGAGATGGGTGCAGGGCAGGGCTGCTCCAGCTCCTCTCGGTCCCAAAAGCTGAACCAGCAGCCGTTGGTTTTTCCTTGTTTTTTTTTTCCCCGGACTCCATCCGGGTGCCTGGATGTGGCTGCTGGCCCCAGCGGCTCCTGCCCTAGAACTGGAACCAGGAGCAAAAGCAGCAGCAGGAGGGACGAGGGGAGGCGGTGGCCCCAGTGCTGCCCCTGCTCCCACATTTGCTGGATCCGTGGGACAGGGAGCGGGTTTGGAGCCTGGGATGTCACAGGCAGCTGCTCCCTGGAGAAAGGAGAGTTAAATCACGGCCCTTTCCCTAGGCTGGGAGTCCTGGGGTTGGGGAGAGCGGGTAAAGTGGCCCCAGATGGAAACCCCGCAGGGTCCTGATTGCCCCCCAGGTGCCTCCTATTGCCGATCAGGGAGGAGCAGGAGCAAGAGCAGGAAGAATGGAAGAACAAGGAGCAGGAGGAAGAACAAGGAGCAGGAGGAAGGAGGAATTGTGAAGAACAAGGAGCAGGAGGCAGGTGAGGGAAGGATGGCGGGAGCAGCCTGTCTTTGCCCGGGGTCACCCTGTGCTGTCCTGGATCCGGCCACGCGGTTGGATCCGGCTCCAAGTGGTTCCCTAACAACCCAGTTCCCCGTTGAGGCTTCATGTCGCGTGCCGAGGTCTGAGCCCACACGAGGCAGCAACGAACCTGCTGCTGCCCTCCCCAATGCACCGGAGTTGTCACCCAAAGTCCCCAGAGCCACCCCAGGTCGCAGGTGCCACCCAGCTGCCCCGTGCGGCCGTGCTCCCAACGAGGGCTGACAAAGCACACGGGAAGCGCTCGTATCCGAATGCAGGTTTTTATTCATCTTTCTCCATTTGAAGCTATTTTTTAAGTTATACAAATGGCACTTACAAAAAAAAATATATAAAAAAAAAAGAAACCCAAAACTTAAGAGTGAGATGTTTCCAGAGAGTCACGACACCCGATAAAAGAGGAGACAGGAGGAATTCTCGACCTAACGTGACGCGGAGGGAGCCGGAGCGGGATGGCGCGGGTGGAAGCGCGAGGAGGGGCCGAGGCAGCGGAGCCGCGGGGTTTCACCAAGGCGCCCGTCCCTTCGGGAATCG